CCCCAAAACCCCAAAACCCCAAAACCCCGTTTTAAGAGAGGCTGGTTGAAATGTCTCAAATACTATCAGCTATTATCACATTTTAAAATTTGCCGATTTGGACTATTCTAAGTCTGTCAAGCTGTCATTCATCTACAGAAGATAGATCTCTAAGATTAGCAGTAATTAATTAGTTAGCAAACTGGGAGACTTTATTTTGAGTTGCTTTGTATTGACAACCCCTCTAACGTTAATAACTGCTAAACCAGAGGTACCTCTTCTGAAGAACACGAAATCTAGGAAGATCTTAGCAGGCAGATTCTTCATATTTTGAAAGTGCTTTACATTCTTCTGAACTGGAAAGATGAAAAATTATCAGCTTGACTCTGCAAATTTTGTTGATTTCCCTGAAAATTACTGAAATTCGAAGGGTTCAGGTAAGAATATTGGGGTCGACTTGTGACATCTAGGCGTTAGATAGATCATACTTGTGTAGTAATCATTTTTGTGAAAGCTAATATTTTGAGAACTTTCACTGAGAATCCGGGAAGATCTACTCTGAGACTAGAAATTAGAAGCATATTACAGCAGTAGAAGGAAAGCAGGTACGCTTTCCTTTGTAGGGACAGTGAATTCTACGGGATTTGACTCCACTTGAACGGTTCTTCAACCTGATATTTTCAAGAATGCTATGGACAGTATTGGGATTTAGCTCCAACAAGGTTGTGTAGTTTCTAGGATCTCTTTCGAAACTGTTATCATTTGAAGGAAGCTCTGTCTTACGTTTCATAACTGAAGGAGCAACTCCTTTATAGCCAACAGGAATTAACTTACGACGAAAAGGATTTGAGAGACTAGGCGTAATGCACTTATTTGACTCAGATCATTTAATATTCTTATAAACATTATCTGCAGTCTTCATAACGGGATTTTCAAGAAGGTTTAAATCTCTTTCGATCTCAATTGGAGTCTGTATCTCATTATTTTGGTCGTCCACAGTAGAGTATATAATTTTCCTGGCATCTTTTTTAGTTTTGATTTCAATATTGAAGTAGGAAGAAATATAATCCTGGGCTTTCTCATCTTCCTCGCTGAACGTTCTCTCACTATCCTGTCTTTCTTGACTTTTAATGATTGGAAGCTTATTTCTTTTCAATTTTCATTTTATTCTTAAGATAACTCTTCAGGTTATTCCTAATCAGATGATCGCTTGATGGATTATTTTGTGATATTCCTACTCATTGGACTCTTCTTGACATACTTCTGATGGCGGAGTCTTCATTTCAAAATATTCTTGCTCCTGGATCTACTTTTAACTTTGGCCATGTCTTAAGTATTAGAGACAACACTTACTGTTAAGTTTTTGGCGTTTAATAAATTTCTTGGAGACTCTTAATCTTGAGAATTTCTAATTATGATGCTAAATTTTACTTCTTTCAGGCTCATATTGGTGCTTTATGAAAATCTTTGAATTAAATTTTCTATTTAATAGCTTATAATTGGGGTTTTGGGGTTTTGGGGTTTTGGGGTTTTGGGG